TTTCTAATAAAAAATTCTAAGAACCAAGCAAACTACTTTTTTATTCGATTTTTAACATCATAAAAATGTTGACCAATCGTGACCTAACGTTGATTCTTCTATTTCATTCAATTTTTCTTTAACAATCATTGCTCAAGTAATAGTCAAACTTACCCGCTGAGAGTTTAATTAGTTTTCCAATAGGTACTTGTCTATTGTAAAATTTTCAAATATTTTTTAATTATTCATATATAAACAACTTTTAGCAATTTACTGTCTAAGTACATGGTACAATTAATATTGTACTAAATTTGTAGCTTCTTACGTAAATTCGTTTCGGTAATTAACTTGGAATTTGAAGTACAAGTCTCTAAAAGCCATGCCTTTATTGGACCTTTAATTTGTCAAATAAGTCGGAAAAGGATTACAAAAATCTCTCATGCTTAAACCTATAGCTCTTTTTAATGATACTCAACAAGTATAGGTATAATTAGATCTTGTTGCCCTGTTTGCATGCTAGGTGGCCCCTTCGAGTAAAGCTGATGAGTTATATTGAAATAATTTTAACCCTTGTAATAAAAAGAGTATCAACCAGTACCATATATGTTTCTTTAAAAATTATTCAAAGTAGTTAGATCCACATTAGTTATAACAAAATATGTGTGTTCATGTGCCGCATACAAAATACGTCTGAAATTTTGTATAGCTACTCTGGTGGTGCAAATTGAGATGAAACAAAGGGGAGATGTTCGTATCTCCTTTCAAGATGATCCTTTTACAGAACACGTGCGTCTGTGCGTGTATCAGGATCGGCAGGTGGTGTGCGGGTTTGGGACCCAGAGAACCGTCCCGGACTCCACCGCCTTCTTCTACTTCTTCTTATTCCTCGAAGCACCATCATTATCTCGGAATTATTGCAAGAGATAGACAACGATAAACAGTGGTTGTTCGACCCATCTATTCATCCCGTTCATTTCAGACAATGATCAGCAAAAATGGTCCTGTTTTTATTTCTTACACGTCTCTCTTTATTATAGGACTATGTCTTGTCAATTTCGATTTTGTGGTTAATATAAATTAGATAAAAATTAGGGGCAAGGCCTTTTATTCATACCTACATTAGGCAGATTCGTTAAAATAAAATAATTAAAAAATTGCCTGAATTTCAAATTTCCTAGACTTGGGTTTAAAAAAAAAGTAATATATATCCTCGAAAAACTAAAATATGTCTTAGTGAAAATATATGACAAAGAACAAAATTGCTAAAGCTGTTTTAATTTTTTTGTTTTTCATTTTTGGTAATCCTACGGATGTGTAATTAATTTTCGGGCAGCAATATACAACGATAGTTAACGAGCTGAAAAATGTACGTTCCAAAATTCAACTTTAATTAATGAACTATGCAGACAATTTTTATTACATAGTTTCTCTGCTAGTTTACAAACTGACCAAAAATAGCTAACACCATAGATTTGGTTGTAAGATTACGACTTTTCTCGTAAATTTGTGGAATATACGACATCATTAACTGTTTAATTATTATCGTATCGTATTCGTTGATTTAAGGTCAATTTGTTAGGAATTTATGACGGTTGATTCTACGAAAGATATACATAAGCTTTTTGTATACATGCGTACATACACGTCCATGTCTACTATCTATTAACTCGATCTCTAATCTATTAATTTAGACAGTGCGTTTCGTTTCACGAAAATCTTAAGCTTATTTTAACTCTGGTTTTATCACTAGGATTATCTCCTTACAAAATTCGAAGGATTCTAGCCAGTTGATAGTTAAACTGTCTCTTGTTATTCAAGTAAAATTGAAAAGTAAAGTTCAACTTGTAAACGTACTTATTCACCAAGATTATTCATATTAATTTCGAGTTAATAGTGCAGCGAGAGAGGTTTCATCCTTGTTCTTAAGGTATTTCCAAACTAAAGTAAAACCCACTTTAATAAAAATCTCTAGAAATATCTTGGTTAATGCGTGAATGCCATTTTTGTCTGTACAAGAAAATTAATTCAAATTGAAAATTGAATTCAACAGAAGCACTAACACAAAATTCCGCGAATACATTTAAAATTTAAAATTTTATTAAATCAGAAATTTTAAATTAGATCACGAGTGATAAAAAAACCAAAAATAAATTTTGGTTTCTGTACCAGTCAAAAGGTATATTAAAGAAAACATTTGATATTAATTTTTATCTTTTGGTCTAATCCATATAAATTGATTAACTAGGATTTATTTACCTCTAGATAAAAATTATAGCGAAACTGTGTCACTTTTATATTTTGAGATTGGATAAGAGACAATAAATCGGGATTGCCTTTTCAGGTAAATTAAAGTTTTCGAAACTATGATATTGTAGCGAGCACGAATGGCTTATCGATTCGCCGACTAGCCGCGGGCGCCATTCTTCATGTGCACCGTATTTTTAAATGTGTTTGTCGTACTTGCGTTCTGGGAAAGCAGTTAAACAGTTCAAAGAAAAAATAAACTATCCGGATGTTTCCAGAAGGTTCCCGAAAGTAAACAAAAGAGTATTTAAAGGAAGAGACGATCGCCGAGAGAAGAGAAGAAATAAATTCACCGTTGCAGAAGTGAATCGAGAAATAAATTGACAATGATAGCAATGAAATAAATAGCGCAGTGAATAGTGATTTATCAACAATAGCGTAAATAAATAGAATAATTCATAATCTAAGTTTAGTAATAATTTAATAGTGTTTTTAAGTCCTTTAATAATTAGTGTAAATAAATAGTTTTTGCCGTTATCAGTCTTAGAAGTTAATTTTGTTAAACCCACGAACATTACAATATGTATGTATAATCAGCTGTCAATTATAAAAGCATAGAATTGGTCGTGTCCCACTAGACATATTGAATGTCTGTGCTTTGGAAACAAAAAACAAAGGGGATTTGGTGATATAACGTGTCTTTAAAGTCGATCGCGACAGCAAACAATCTAAAGAATTTAAACTTAATTAAACCTTAGGAAAGCAGCTCTTCTCGTTAAAACTTGACCGTTTCTTGTATTATTGTTTTTTTTATTTTACGATCCGCTATTAAATGCTAATTAAAAAGATTTCTATCCCTATCGAAAACATAAATTAAACAACTGTGCGCCCAATTTTAATCAATCGGCAGCCCGACTTTGGCTGTTTTCGAATACTTTCCATAAAGAATGTATTCTTAATTAGCAGGTGGCGACAAAATACAGGAGTTCTAAGCAAATCCCTTCATTATTGAAGCAAAATCTCGGTGACTGTCTCGTTTTTGCCAAGAGATCTATAAATAAAACCATCATAAGCATGATTGTTTTGGTTGTACTATCACTTTTACTCATATTTATCAGTTTTTGTTATTCTTTACTTCTTTAAGTACAACAATTTCTTATTTATAGATATTTCAGTGCATAAAAAAGATTCAGTGTGTTATATGCATCACTTTTTAAAATTATTTAACCACCAAAAGGAAAGAACATTCTGAAGTAAATCTTCAATTAAGCGTCGACGTTAAAGAAAAGCTCTAAGTGATACCATTGTTTATCCAGTTGAAAGCGTTTACGTAGCTGGAGAATAATAAAGGAAGCGCTATGACACAATGGCGGCAAGACTTTTCTTTTCTCATTTAATTACTCTACTTATTTGTCACCCTACCCAAGCATTAAAAGGAGCAATCAATAGAGGCATGTTACGTATTATTACTTCACAATAACGACCCTTTCAATGGCGACACAGTCAGTCGTTTTATTTCTATCGTTTTTGTTAATAAGGATATAGCTCAAAATGTAATTTTTACAATAATTTTTCATTACTCACAATCCAAAAGTTTTAGATAAAAAATAAAACATTTAAAGTTTAAGGGAAAAAGAAATGTAATAAACTTAACAATATGTAATGGAAACAATTATGCAGAGAATATGTTTTTTTATGGTACTTTTGTAGTGTAAAGAGCATTTATGTGCACTTGTCAACCTTTGTAAAAATTACTTCAAAGCAACTTTTTTTACTGAATTTGTTTTAATTAATTTAATGTGACGGTTCAGCTGTTTTATATGTACCTACCTTTGTATTTGTTGGTTTGAATAGAGATAGCCCCATTGGCTAGTGGAAAAACAGAGGGCTGACTGCTTTAAAATAAAAATAAAAACGAAATCAAATAGTCATGTTTAATTAAATATACACAAAATTATTGGTAATCAACCTAATAAAAATTACACGCTTCAATCTATGTTTATTTTCCAAATTAAAATAGTGGAACTTAATCCTTTTATAGGAAGCATTATATTGACTATATTGAACCAATTAAATTAAAATGAATGTACGTATTTATACGCATATTGCATAAATCACCTTTTTAACCGATTTTATAGATATATCCAAAATGCAGAACATGTATTAATCGTGTCGCCTAGTTAATTTACAAAATCCTAGAAGATAAAATTTTATTTTGATCCGTCGACAGGCGCGAGGGCGACAACATAAAACCGGAAGGTAAAAGGAAGTAATGAGAAGCTTTTTAGAAATATCAGGAACGTTCGGGAATTGTATACATACTGTATGTGACAAGCATTAGATGGAGGACAATCGATATATATCGAAACAGTATTATAGATTCAAATTAGAAAATTATAAACACGCAGTGATACAAATATGTGATTGCTAAAATGAATTATGATTAAATAATGTGTTAGGGTGTAAAATAAATTGTTTGGCATACAAAATCTACTTAAAAAAATAGTGTTATACATACAAAATAAAAAAATTTTTTCGATAAGTTTATTTTTTATGCGATATATTCTGTTACCATGGTCTCTGTCCATGAAATTTTGTAACAACGAAAATAAGAATATTTTTAAGAAATATTCATCTTAGGTAGGTTAATACGAGCAAGCACACGTTCAATAACTTTTGATCCGAAAACTTGTGTGTGAAAGGATGGGATTAATTTTGTATGCAAAAAAGCCGTTGAATTAATAAAGCTCTTTCCTTATCTTGTACTTTTGTTCCAGTGGTGGGAAATTTATCGGGACTGGCGAGAAAATAAGGTTACCGGACGACGTCACAATGGGCTACATAATTGGTAAGTTTAACTGATGGGTGTAATTGAGGAAACGTCAATTTATCAAATGTAACAACTGCCGTTTGAGTTCAATAGACTAGAATCGTTCAAATGTTTTACACACCTACGCATTTAACAAAAAATGCACCCACAGTAAACAATTCAGCGCAAGTAGAAATTCCTAATAACTAACAAAATACTTATTATTGGACTTTTCCATTGGTGACTGTTTGAAATAATCAAATAAACCATTGAAAATGAGTGTTAAAATTTACAATGGAATACTTTTTAATTTAACCTGCCAACTTTTGGAAGAATCGATAATTCTAAGTGTGTACAAATTCTATTTTTATTTTTATGCGCATTTAACATCAAAACGAGATATTTCAATTTTAATATCAAACTTAAATGTGGTTTTCGCAGAAAAATATTTCGGTATTTCGGGGAATTCCCCAGAAAAAATTAAATGTCAAACTGAAAATGGCATGTAACCAATGAATCGTGAATTATGAAAACGGATTTTTAAAAAAGTGAGAACCGCAGTACGAAATATCGATCCGTAGGTGTACATCAAGGTGATATTTATTTATTTAATTTGGTCCTAAATCAAAAATTGGTACTGTATGAAATGTTAGTCGTTGAATTTTCTACAAGTAAAATGATTAGAATAAAGCATAAAAGTTTTCTAAAATGTAAAATTTGGTCTAATATAATTTTGTTGTATACTGTAAATTTGAGCGTCAACGTACGTTTTTTTCCAGAGCATTTATTAAAGAAGCCTTTGACCGTGGTCGACCAATTCCATTCTCACTTGGAGCCAATGAAGTTCATCAGGAAGGAACTTCTGCATGACCAGGTAATCCTTTAATTAAGACCGCTAACAAACGTCAATTAATATACGGCAGACGACGGCACTTTTTACGCTTCAAACACATAATTAGTCGATGACATTAAGTGATGGATGGGTACAGAACAGAATAACAGTCAGTTTGAATTTTAACGTTAAAACCGAATCGTCCAGAACAATCGATTATCCTAGTCAAATAAAGAATGTGATGGTAAGCAATCAATTTCGAATTTCCAATGTGAAATAACTTGAAGTATATACGAACAAAATATTAACAAACGAATTTATCATTATAAGGTCCGTATATAGGCCGACGATCAAAATTTTATGAGGTGAAATCTAGTGGCCAGATTTTTTTTAGCGAGACCTACTATAATGTGTTTGCACCTCGATTTCCACAAACAGTAACTTATCGTCCTAAATACGCCCCTGATAATGACATCATGTACGAACAACGTCCGCTCCCTACTTATACGACGCAATATTTGTTTTTTGTGGGACTAAAAATCGTTTGAGTGCAAGATACAAGTGCTTTATCGATATATAAAGAACAATTACAATACAATGAAAGCTTGAAGTTTTCTGGGAATTGGTTATATGCGTGTAATTTTATACTGTTATAATGGAATGCGGATACAATTTCGCTCTTCCGCAATCAAACGTTCGTTTTGTTGAAGAGGATGAAAAAAGCATATGCAATTCACTGGTTTGGAAAATAAACGATTTTTGGAAAAATGAAATAAATAAGAGAATCGCCCATTGCAGAGGTATCGGTAATTGAAAGAACAATATTCTGGTGACTTACGATAAAGTACCGTAGAATTCGTTTATAATGACTTCGTTTATATCGTCGGTTTGCGTATCCATGTATCTATATATAGGAAATTTTAAACTTTCGGGTATTATGAAAACGCAGTTAGAATGTTCGTATATAACGTCTTCCCTTATAAAAACGAATATATGTATACGGTTTTACAAAGTTTAAATCTGCACAATCTATGTAATTGCCAGCTTTAGGCACCATTTTACTGTATAAATGTTTCGAACGATAACGTTTTTAACGTACAAATACATCATTATACACGGATCAGGCTCTCAAACACACTTCTTAACGAGAGTATCTGCATATTACGAACAAGTTTTTCGGTTCTGTTCGCGTTCATTATAACCGAGTTTCACTATATTCCCTTGCAATGCGACGTACAACGTCCAAGAAAAAGGTAGTTAATGACAAATGATTCAATCTTGGAAAACGACAACGACAGACACCTTGAAGAAGAACGAAAGTCATGGCCTGCCAGGATGCGACGGGCCCGAAGACGGGTACGATGACAGTACGTGATTGTAAACGGCACCCGATGAAGCACCTGATTGTCTACACGCAAACGAAGGCGACGAGAATATCAAATACTTTAATGAACGTTATCGGAACACGGCAGACCATTACAAATGTAGTAACGTCATTATAAGGTTGAAAGCACCGATCTAAGCTGTGTATTATTTGTTACCGAATAAAAATGAACAGTCGAACAGGGAAAATCAATAGACGCGTTAGTTGTTAGTTGGCTAGTTAGTTGGTGTTAAGCTGGCCAACGGAGTTTTTTATCGTTAACAAAATCTAGGTGTACGTAAAAGCGTTCACTAACGATACGCTGGCACATCTGTTTTCAAAATATCATTACGTATTATAATGAACTACCTAAGGACAAGTGCACTGTCAGTTAAGTGCTAATTTGAATTTGGATTGTGAAAAGTAACCTAACAAAGCTAATCTTTAAATCTTGATTTATTTATCATTATTCTGACGTTATATGCATACAATTTTAGTTTAATCACAGCAGGACCTCAATAAGATAAATAAAGGAGACGTTGACAATTTTGCAATAAATAGTTTTTAATATAAATAGGGTAACTTAAAAGTTTAGGTCTAAAACCCTAAAAGGCCTATATTTTACTTAACATAGTGAGGCTTCATTTTCATTAAGGATTCTGCTTCTAATACGTCTCTAACTATCCTTTCACATCTCAGAATTTCAGGTGTCCTATTTGTGTGGTCCTTGTGATACAATACATATTAGATATGTAGTCAAAATTAAAAGTTAGTTCGATTTAGTAAATTTTTTAGATGTAGTTTATTACGAAAAAGGTTTTAGGGTTTGAAGAGTAAGGTTCAGAAACTTCAATTATCGGAGTTTTTACGTTATCAAACAATTATTGACAAGGTTCTATTCAATGGTTTTGTCAGGCATTTTTTTAATTTTTATTACTGTAGACAGTAGTGTGATTATTAAATCTTCGTCAAAAAAGCAAATTTGAAAATCTGACTTGTAGGTTCAAGAAGATTATTATGAACAATTACGTTATTACAATATAATTCGCAAAAATTATAAATTTAAGATTAGTAAATTTAACTGAATAGAAGTTTGAAGAGTTCAGTTTTACAGGTTCCATCACGTCGATTGAAATTATAATACTTATACGTAATTATGTTTTATAGTTGGGATGTATAGTAGTTTTTAAAACTTTGGTTAAAATTTTGAATCCCTCAGGAAATTAAAACTCGAAGTTCTTAATTATCATAATACGCTTTAGTTAGGTGGCAGATTTTCGTACAGCTTGTACTCCTTTTGTTGAAATTCTTTTGTTGGAGCACGTGCATGCAATCTTGTTTCTTTTGTATAAATTGATTAAGTAATAAAATCATGTTGAACCTTTCGAAGCTTTCCTGCAATTTCATGCTCGAATGTACAATGACCAAGTAAAAAACAAGAATCAATGGCCGGTACCCCTTTTTATGATAAAGATGATGATACTTGAATCATTTAAAAATACGTATAGGTTGATATACCTGTTGAACCGAAACATATTAAAATTTTTGTGTCAAATAATCTAATCCGTTCTGCTTCAATATTTAAAAATACGTATAGGTTGATATACCTGTTGAACCGAAACATATTAAAATTTTTGTGTCAAATAATCTAATCCGTTCTGCTTCAATAATATTATGGTACTTTTATAAGTACACTGCTGCTACAATAAAGTAGCAACGTTATTAACTTCTTTTCGATTGAAAGCATTTTGTGCAGAATCATGATAACGTTTATAGTTACCCCGATAATAAATTCAGATGTATAGATAAGTTCCTTTTAAATTGAAATACAGAATAATGAAGAAAATAAAGGTAGTGTATAGTAGAGATGCCCGTTTTGGATCCACTAATGCCGTGTAATTGTACCAGAAAATAAAACATCAGCATCAGAAATAATTGTTTATATTACCGGTTATCCGGTACCCCAAAAAATCACTATTGGGTGCATCTCTAGTGTATAACTAAGAATCCTCAAGTACATGAAAAAAGTTCTGTAATAAATTAAGGATAATTAAAATTTTCTATAAATTTTTGACAAATTACTGAACAGTTGCCTTTCCATCATAAGAAGGTCATCATCTTAAGATTGGTTGGTCTAGGTCTACCTCTACTCCTCTTAACTCCAGTTTCTGTCTCTGACTAAACCTTCAAGCCTAAGAAGGTGTCTTATCAACCTATCTCGCCTATTTCTTATCGACTTCCATGGAGTCCTTTGTTCTCCTATTCTTTTTAATACCTCTTTATTTCTAACCTTTTCTTTTCCACCTCTCCCACCGTCCATGTTTCGCAGCCATACACCGCCGCGCTCCAAACATTCCAACAATCTTTCTCGAATTTCTAAATGAATCGTTCGCAAGCATAGAAGTGACTTCTTTTTATTGAAGGCACTATCCTCTGCTTTATATCGCTGCTACTCCTTTCATCCTAACTTATCTGTCTTTCTAGATACATAAAATCAGCCACTTCTTCTAATCTTTCGTCTCCTGTCTTTATAATCACTCTTTACCTAATTTTTGCTTCCCTTGCATACCAGTATTTGTATTTTACTTTTATTTATTTTCATACAATACTGTTTGTCAATACCGCTTCCATTTTATTTAAAGCTATCTCTAATTCCTACTTGCTAGATGCTAACACTGCTATATCATCTGCAAATCTAAGCATACTAATCTTTTACTAAACGTTTTATCGTTGTCGCATTTTTGCATAGAATTGGCAATCATAGCGTTTAGGGAGTAAAGGCCTTAAGACGGTTATCAAGATCTGACTGTATCAACTGCCAAGTTTCTGAACACCTGTTTCTAATGCTAATAATTGATAGTCTCACTTTGTTTATAGTGCCGTATTCACTTCAGTTGGAGAGCGATTTACTTACATCCTGTTTTATTTGATTGCAGATATCCTTCAGCTATTCGCGTAACAAGGACGAATGGAATGTGGTCAAAGTGGAGGGCTTAGATGTAAAACACGATCCGTACAGGTGTGTATCATAACTATAATTTATATCAAGCAAATAATTTTACGAAATTTGCAGAATTATTTTAATTTAAGCATTAAATCTTCTACGCTATGAGTTAGTACCTTCACTAATCAAAGAATTTGTTATTTTATAACTGCGTATTCCAAATACTACGATGGATAGTTTGTAAATTATCCAAAACACTGCACTAGTTTGTGTACTTACTTTTCTTGTACTTTGTATTTTAACCTAACCCAACGGATCTTCCGAAAAATTTAAGATTTTCCTTTGTTTAATTTCATTTCTTGATAAGTTTAGTACGGATAGATCGTTAGACTCGGATGAAGTTATAATTACTAATTTCCTTTCCATTAATTCTTTTTTTTTGTTTTTAATTATTACTCAAGCGGAAACAATTTGAAAGTGATTACTTCATTCTCGAGATAAGTAGGTACTATACGATCCTTGTTGAGATTTAATTTCTAAGGAATTTAATGCTGAATATATCCAAGGCGCTGCGTGAATTTTTAAAATGCCTACCTGCAATGGCCGATTAGCTGTGGGCCGCCAAGCAACGTGTTTATGACACTAGAAACATAATTAACGATCGAATTGCTGGATTATATTATAACGCATTCGTATATGCGGGTACGTGCCGCTGTACGTTTTTAAACATACGGGTAAACCGTTGGGAACACACCAATTCCTTACTCAAGACTCCTAGGTCAATTTAGTTCCTTTTTGTAATATTTTGTATTAGTTAATATTCCATTTAACCATCCCAAGTCTGCTGGCCCATTTATGTCACAGATGCCCCAACCTTCCTGTTTCTTCCCTTCATATTTTAGCTCTTCTCTAATTGATTAACTTCGTATTTTATCTTTTCCTTTAATTCTTCTAAGGAATTAATTTCTTTATAGTTGAAGTTTGCCAAATATGTAACTCCCTACATAATATTGAATTTCCTTATGTATATAGTGACGCTACGAATTGTAAAACAAAAATTTATATCAAAAACGAAATTTGAAGGAATTAAGGAAAGTTATTAGGTTTTCTGAGGTTCCTATAAAAAAACCTTCGTCCAGGGCAGGGGACGGCAAACTGCGGCTCTTTCGAGAGACAATTGCGACTCTTCAAGTTCTCTTAAAAATTAAAAGGTAAATCGGAACCTAAACAAGAGAGACTTGCACTGTTACAGTGCATCTCAACGAACTAAACCTTCAAGGAAATGAAAACACGGCATTTTCATCACTGGAAAAAGAAGTTGGTTTTTTCTTTTGGCAGAAAATATGGAGATGGGCACATTATCATATTTCGAAACATTAAGGAATTATCGGGATGAAAACAGTGCTTCTATTGACACTGATGGTTACTTCACAAGAACGAAGAAGGATGACATAGCTAAATATTTGATCAGTTCAAAATTAATAAGCTTATCTTAGCTTTCATTGCGAATGGTCTCAAAGAAAAGAGCAAAGAACTAAGTTTTACTCCATTTAATATCAATGCTAGTTTATTTGAAATCTAATTACTAGATTTAAAAAGCAAAGATTTGTGGAGTTCGAAATTAGTAGCTTAAAAGAGCTGGAAGGGCATAAATGTCTTTTGATATTGCAGCATAAGTGAACGGCATTAAAAGGGATGCCTAAGCCTGAGGCACTAATTTTCGATATCTGGGATAGTATTTAGGGATGCTATGACCAAATAAAGAATTGGTTTTTGCTGTACTGCCGATCATTGGGTCAACATTATCGTGCGAGCAAGTTTTCTCTTCTATGAACTTAATAAAGAACAAGCTAAGGGATCAACCAACTAATCAAAATTTAGTCAAGTCTTAAACTAAAACCAACTAGTTATCTGCCGGACAAAACTTTCTAAAAAATGCACCGTTCGCATTGTTTTTTTTTTATACTTATAATTACAATCTTGTAAAAACTGAATTAAAAAATTGTGTCTCTTTGAAATTCATGAAACAATATTTTCATTGCGAATGGCTCTTACGACTTAAAAGTTTGTTCAATTTGTGATCGCAATAATACTCATCTTAGTTTAATGTTAGTGTCGGTAATTAAAGTGTGTTTAAATGATGTCGGAATTACATAAAAACAAAATACACAGATCGTGGCACGCAAATTTGTCATAAACGTTTGCGGAGGCCAATAAAATCCGGTGAGTCAATTAGCAGGCGATCAAAAGACACAAAAATGCCTATGTTCATCCAAAGTAATGCAGATGTAATGATATGAGCAAATATGTGAATAATTTTGCTGTAAACAGAAAATATTTAACGACCATACATAAAATACTTTGCAGTTAGACTTTGCATTAAATATTAAATAGAAATTAGTAAAACACTTTCAATTAGCTAACGCTAGTGCTAATGACTGCGATTTGCAATTTTTAACATCAACCGAAAATATAGAAGTGATAAACACAGGTAATTAAATTATGGCAAGTCTGTAGCTACAGCGCAGGGGATAATAACGAGATATTTAAAAATATCATACAAGTTGAAGCAACACTGTCTTTAGCAATGAAACTAATATAATTTACGTTTTTTTACTATTTAAATTCTTTACAAAAATTGATTATGGCATGTAATAACTGTTATCTATAAGCTTTTTACATTCCTACTCGAAGAACTTCTTGTGTTTTGCTGTATAGTAACGGCTAGAGCAATGGCATTTCCAATTCCGGCACCATCATCGACAGGGACCAGTTCGAAGCGCATTTCCGGAGGGACAAGTTCCGCAATCGTTTCGTGCATTATTAAAGGAAAATATGGATGACTTTTAAATAAAACACCGTCAACTGCAATAGTAACTTTCGGCATTTGAATTCGAGTTATCAGGGTTGCTACACCGGCTGCTATCAGTCGAGCAGCCCGGCGAACAAAACATTCGCAGATGTACCTAACGTTTATATAATCTCGTTCTTTATGATGCCTCAAATTCAATTTGCAGTTAAGTATATTTTTACAGCGTTCGAATCGTCCCGGAGAGTCGTATTCAATTTGCGAAATGTAGTCGGTTTTAAAGCTGCCACATTGTCGCAATTCTTCCGATGGTTTGCCGCAAAACAGAACGCCTTCTTCTGCCAATCGCACCAATACTAGTCGCACCAGCTCGCCCAGGTTGTTGTACGAAACTATTTTTTCAAACGTTTCCAAACCAGGACTTGAGGACGATTGGTCCATTGCCTTATCGTAATCTGTTAGTAAATAATCCAGTTGTCCGTTTTCTCCGAATGCCGACCAATCCGTGTTTATTAGAACCTTTCCTGTGCCACATTCAGTGTCAGTAAACAATTCGGCATTGTCTTGGTTTTCCATGTAGCACGCGTTACAACGTTCGCCGATGGTTAGTGCAATTTGGGTTGTCTTAGGAGTACAGTGCGCCCCTCTCATAAATGTGCCTATTGTGTCGTTAAGAATAACGATATATTCAATGGTTACTTCTGAAAGTCGGAAGAGGGCTTCGCAAAGTAGATTCACTACATCCTCTTTTTCTGTGTTCGGACAACTAAAACCTTTCACCCATCTCGAAAGGTACGCTTTCGTTTCTCCCTCGGGTTGTACTGGAAAATTAAACGAAAATCCTAAAGGCAAGATCTTCTCTTCAAGTCCGTGATCGATAATGAAAGAGACTAGGCATTCTGCAAAATAATCGAATAAATTTTCACCACTGTTGACCCTCTTTGCTTTTGAAATCTCAAATGTTTTTTCCATAGCGCAAGGCTTCTTCTTTGACTTAATACTAACAAACACAATTCGTAGGGAGCATGCGTTCACGTCCATGATTAAAAACTCGCCACATTCCTTTCCGGTGGGTATAGTTCGGAAATGAGTTACAAAGCATTTTACTGGTGCACTATCGTGATTCTCGGAACTCAATCCGTTATCTATTTCTTTTGAAAGTTTTCTCATGAATACGTTTAGATGTTCTTCGTTTAAATTTAACTCTTGAAATCTTTCACAAAATTCCGGGTTCGCCGGTTTTGTACATGTAACACTGATGGGTTTGGTAGCTCCACAATGACATACGTTTTTAGAAACTGCATTTTTTTGACGATGAGCTGTACTAGTCATAATTTTTCCGTTTTTTTATTCTTAATTTATTAATTATTTTATAGAGAAAACTTTATACTATAATTTAACATTTTTGACACAATACGTTAAGTTGACAAACACGGCTGACATTTTAATGAAATCATTTAAATAATAAAAATCAACGTCTAAAAATGAGTATTGTACATTCAGTGCAGTTTTTTTAGTTAATGTATTGGTGAATTAAGTAATAATACTAATCACTATGTTTTTCTCGTTTTTTTTCAGGTTTTTATCACTACACTGTCATTTGTTTCCGCATTATTCTTTTTGTCCGCGATGATCACACAACAGGGCAAATTAAATTTACGTAACGTATGTACATTGTAAGTATACAATAGCAAAGTCTGTGATTTTTAATGTAAGGCTAAGAATATTGTAAAATGTAATTAACTGTGATGAAAAATTGTAAATTTTCGTTTCTGTATATTACTCTCCTCATCATTTTCTTTCGTAATGATTAGATTTAATTTAGTTTGTTTTTCTATTTGATTTTGTAATAAAAAGCTAGTCTTTTGTAAAAATGCAAAACAAACAACCAAGAATCCAACATATTCTTTTTGTAAATTGTTAGTCTTTAATTAATTTATAACTGTTTGAAATGTATGTAAATGTTTATTATCACACTTTTTTTAACCATTGTAAAATGAAGATTAGATTAGGTGCAATAATTAGTGTAATTATATTGTAAATAATTGTTCACGTTTATAAAAATGCTGCTCAAAACACAAATTAATAAAATAAATTTTTCATAAATATACCCTTACGTCTTTCTTTTAAGTTCAATTTTCAGAAATACCTACGAACTTATTATTTTTAAAATTTGAATAAACGTACAGCGACGGACGAATGGTAGGGGAAGATAGGGTGACCCGCCCCAAGATATTGGAGGGCCTACAAATGTTTGAAGTCGCAAACGAGACTAAAATACGTTTATTTCAATTTTATACTCTACAAATACAGTACAACTGTCATCTACGAGGGTGGATTGATAAGTTTCCGGCCTGACCAAGAAAAACAAGGTTTTTAAAAATTTTTTTTTTTATTTCTCAACATAATCTCCTCCAAGGCTGATACATTTCTCATAGCGGTGTTCCAGTCTATTAATGCCATCTCTATAGACTGATTCGTCAAGCTCCTCAAAATAACCATTTACAGCTTCGATTAC